CCTCTTATCGGCCATGCAGATCGTAAAGGACCTAAAGAAAGGGGAGCCGACGTTCCTAGCTACCATTGCAAGTTCGAGTGAAGACAATGGTGCTAAAGAGTCCTTGCCACCGATCATAGAGAAGGTCCTTGAGGAGAACAAGGACGTTATGCCAGACGAGCTGCCAAAGAACCTACCTTCGAGGCGTGAGGTAGATCACAAGATAGAGTTGGAGGTCGGAGCCAAGCCACCCGTGCATGCACCTTACCGTATGGCTCCACCCGAATTAGAGGAGCTACGGAGGCAGTTAAGGGAGCTCCTCGAGGCCGGTCACATCCGTCCATCCAAGGCACCTTATGGCGCACCGGTACTGTTCCAGAAGAAGAAGGATGGATCCTTACGCTTGTGCATCGACTACCGGGCACTTAATAGGGTAACTATTAAGAATAAATATCCTATCCCGCTTATTGCAGATTTGTTTGACAGGCTTGGGCAGGCCAAGTACTTCACTAAAGTAGACCTCCGGAAAAGTTACTACCAAGTACGCATCGCAGAAGGGGACGAACCGAAGACAGCGTGCGTGACCAGATACGGAGCATACGAGTGGTTGGTAATGCCTTTTGGCTTAACCAACGCACCCGCCACTTTCTGCACACTAATGAACAAAATCTTTCACCCCTACTTGGACCAATTCGTGGTGGTTTACTTAGATGACATAGTCATCTATAGCAACACTCTGAAGGAGCATGTGGAGCACCTGAGGAAGGTCTTCCAAGTCTTACGGGAGAACCAGCTATACATCAAGCTGGAGAAGTGCGAGTTTGCCCAACACGAGGTGCACTTTTTAGGACATATCATCAGCCAAGGCAAACTACGGATGGACGAGGCGAAAATCTGAGCAATCCAGGAGTGGGAAGTGCCCGCTAAGGTGACCGAGCTACGATCGTTCCTTGGACTTGCGAATTATTATCGCAGGTTCATAAGGGGCTACTCCGCTAGAGCCGCTCCGCTGACCGAGTTATTGAAGAAAAATAAGCCATGGGTTTGGAGCGAGGAGTGCCAGCAAGCATTCGAAGGTCTCAAGGCCGCGGTAACTGAAGAACCGGTCTTGGTGCTGCCCGACTTCTTGAAGACCTTCGAAGTACACACGGTTGCTTCGGACTTTGCCATTGGGGGAGTCTTAATACAAGAGAGACACCCAATAGCATATGAGAGCCGTATGTTGAACGAGACCGAACGGCGGTACACGGTCCAGGAGAAGGAGATGACAGCCATCGTACATTGCCTGCGCACGTGGAGACACTATCTACTAGGCTCCAAGTTCGTAGTCAAGACAGATAACATGGCCACTAGCTACTTTCAGTCACAAAAGAAGATCACCCCGAAACAAGCTAGGTGGCAGGATTTTCTAGCCGAGTTTGACTACACCTTGGAGTACAAACCCGGGAGAGGCAATGTCGTGGTCGACGCACTAAGCAGGAAGGCCGAACTAGCTGCCATCACAACAGCCTACTGTGATATTCAAGACGTAATCAGAGATGGCATGCAGCATGATCCAGAGACCAAGAAACTGATGGAGTTAGCCACCCAAGGCAAGACAAGGCGCTTTTGAGTGGAGGGCGGACTTTTGCTCACATCTGGTCGAAGGGTCTATGTGCCAAAGTTCGGGTCTATTAGGCGACAGATCATGAAGGAAAGCCATGACACACCGTGGGCCGGGCATCCAGGGCAACAAAGGATGAGGGCGCTGATCGAAGCTATCTATTTTTGGCCGCGCATGCGGGACGATATAGAACGCTACGTGCAAACTTGTTTTGTGTGCCAACAAGACAAGGTGGAGCAAAGGCATCCGGGAGGACTACTAGAGCCACTACCCGAAGCAGAACGCCCATGGGAGAGCGTGACCATGGACTTTATCACTTCCCTACCTAAGTCCGACGGGTATGGGACTATCATGGTCGTGGTGGACAGGTTTTCAAAGTATGCCACCTTCATACCCGCCACAACAGGATGCACCGCAAATGAGGCCTCTCGATTGTTCTTCAAGAACATGGTGAAGTATTGGGGGCTGCCCAGACATATCATTAGCGACCGAGACCCCCGCTTTACTGGAAACTTTTGGAGGGAGCTGTTCGAGATACTTGGCATAAAGCTACATTTCTCCACAAGTTTCCACCTGCAGACCGACGGCCAGACCGAACGCGTCAACGCCCTGCTGAAGTGCTACCTAAGACACTACGTCAGTGCACACCAAAAGGATTGGGCAAGACTCCTAGACATGGCATAATTTTCTTATAATTTGCAAAGGAGTGAGTCCACCGGGCGCACACCGTTCGAGCTAGCAACAGGCCAACAGCCCCAAACTGTGCATTCTTTACCAGCCGTTTTCGAAGGAAAGAGTTTGGGAGCGTACCATCTTGCCAAAGGATGGGAAGAGCAGCTTGACACTGCCAGGTCCTACTTGGACAAGGCAGCAAGCAAGATGAAGAAATTCGCCAACCGCAGACGGCGTCCCACAAACTACAAAGAAGGCGACATGGTCTTGGTGAAATTCAACCCAAGACAGTTCAAGGCACTAAGGGGCGTTCATCAAAACTTAGTGCGAAAATATGAGGGTCCGTTCAAAATTGTAGCCACGGTGGGCAAGATCTCATATAAGGTGGAGTTACCCCCACACTTCAAAATCCATCCGGTGTTCCATGCAAGCGTCCTCAAACCATACCATGAGGATAAGGAGGACACGAGCCGGAACCAATCGCGACGGGCACCCATTACTGTCACCGCCTCGCACGATCGAGAGTTTGAAGCAATCATCGACTATCAAGCTAAATGAAAGCGAGGACAACAAGCCAGCGCTATGTTCCTTGTACATTGGAAGGGATAATCCCCGGAGGAGGCCACATGGGAAAAATATGAAGACTTATGGCAGTTCAAAGACCAAGTCCGGGAGTTTTTGCAACAATGCGCCGCGGTCGTCGTATCATCAGGTGGGGGAGCATGTGACGTCCCGCCACTAACATAGACAAAATTTTGCAACAAGAAGGTGTGGAGGCTTCTAGAGTTAAGGAGAGGCTTGCGGAAAACTCTAGAACCCCTTAGATATTTCAAGAAAGTCTTGGAGAATTCTAGACAATGTAGAATTCTCTAGATTAGGGACCAAAGTGTAAATATCTTAGGGACCCATCATGTAAATATTAATTGCACTTTATCCCTTGGAGAGTAGTATAAATAGAGGTGCCTACCATTTGCAAAGGCATCACTCAAGTTGTAAGCAATCTTCCAAAGCCAATACAAAAGCCTTCTTCCAAAAGTTCTCTTTGATCTCTCTAAGTCTTTCTTAAAGCATTCTCTTAGCGATCTTAGTCTTAAAGGCTTACTTGAGCTTACGAGATCTTGAAAGAATAGTGAGTAAGTTGTCAAGTGCCGCACGGAGTCTTAGCAAATACTCTAAGTCTGTGACACTATGTTGTTTTAGAATTTCAACTCGCATACTCGTACATTCAATGTACTAATGCCAGTTGGCCTGCATCGTGTTATGATGCAGACACAGGTAACTAGGATCGGCATTCCAACGCACCGTTGATCCAGTGAGAAGTTCAGAGTCTGTTGGTGAGCCTCCTTGCATTTCGGAGGATCCATTTCATTGTTTCCTAGTTTAGTTCATTAGGATGTTGTGGGGTTTGTCCCAACATCCATCTCAATTGTTATTAGAGGCTTCATAGACAGTCAGATGTTAGTTCTTTAGTCTTTTCATTGTCATTATTCCATGTTGAGACTTGAGTTTGCCTTAATGGCCAGTTGAATGTTCCTTTATAACATTCCAGTTTATTATATGAACTTATGTTTGTTGAGTTTAAGCCTTCCGCTGAGTTAAGTAAGCCATGCCAAGGGTTCGCTTGGGGCCAGCAATGGTCTTCGAGTGCCAGTCCCGCCCAGGGTGTAGGCTCGGGGTGTGACATAAGTTTTAAAAAATTACTTAAAATAAGTTAAAAACCAGAAGTGGACTTTGTCTACTTTTTATTTGTTGACTAAAAAGTCATTTAAGTTTGACTTTTTTATTTTTCGACTTAAAAGCTATTTTTTTTCAAGCTAATTCAAACGGACACTTTATTTACTGTAATTATTTCATATATATATATATATTTTAAATAACTTGAATTACCAATTATTGCGACTTTTTTATGTTGTTTTCAGTTATGTAAATTTTATTTTAATTGAAAAAACTTAAAGATTTCATACCCAAATATATATTACTTTTCGTATAGTTTTTGAATATCTAATTTTTTTGTTTAAAATATCGAATTAATGTAATCTAATTTAACTTTGAAATTAGTCAAATTAACTTTCGAAAAACACAACATGAAAACTAAAATGGACGTAGGGAGTATAATTTTTACCTCATTAAATGACGTACTCATGGTAATTAATATAATTTAATATAATTAAACACTCAACGAGGTTAAGTTTTTTACTTCTATTTTATTTAACATAGTCTAACTCTACACAAAATTTTATAACAAATTATGATATTAAAAATATCATACATTTGTATGACGATAAAACTTTTAAAAACTTGTATCTTACTTATAACCTAATATCTTTGGGACTACAAAAAATTCTTATTAAAGTTAAAAATGAGAAATATTAAAATTAATATACTTTTAATTATTTAAACTTAATTCTTACCAATATAGAGAATCTATCATTATCTCAAAAATAGATTAATAAAAAATAATAAACAAATTAAAATTAAAGACATTATAAAAAATGTATTAAATTAACAAGTAATTAAGAGATAAACGGATTGTTGGACCCGTGCTAGCCCTCCAGTATATATATATATATATATATAACGTTTTTATTGCTATATAATTGTACCTTATTTGAGACAGTGACCTCCTCCAAATTCCAATAAATATTTGTCCAGTATTTATGATAGTGACAATATAAAGGTTCTAAACTTTTATTAAATGCTGCCTTTTTATTTTTATAGTTAGGCCTTAGTTGAGTTGTGTAGCGAAATGGAAATTGAAATCTTATGCACAAAGCTCATTAAGCCATTTTTACCTACTCCTCCTCACCTTCAGCATTACAACCTCTCTTTCTTCGACCAAATATCTGAGAAAGAACACGTCCCGATTGTTCTTTTCTATGCTAATAATAATTTCATCAATAGCTCCACTATCGATGAGCGAATTGAACAATCTATTTCAAAGATATTAACTCATGTTTATCCAGCAGCAGGAAGGTACAATAAAGATGAATGTTCGATTCTTTGTCTTGATCAAGGTGTTTCCTACACTAAGGCCAAGGTCAATTGTAAGCTTGATAATTTCCTAGAGAAAACACGCAAGGACCTTAGTCTTGCATCTTTATTTTGGCCACATGTAAACAAAAATATTGATAAAACTAATTTAATGGTTTCACCAATTGTAACGGCACAAGTAACCGTGTTTGAATGTGGTGGCCTAGCAGTCTCATTAAGTGGTTCACACCCTGCAATGGATGGTTTCTCAACCTTTAAATTTCTTTTTGAGTGGGCAAAAGTGTGTAGATTTGAAACTCCTGTTGAGAAGATTAATTTTTTAAGCTTTAATTTGGGTAATATTTTCCCGACAAGAGAGATATCAGGACTTTTTAAGTCAACCTATATTCCAAGTATACACCAAGATATTATTGTTAAGAAATTCGTTGTTCGTGAGGCTGCTATGTCAAGGCTTAGAAAAAAATGCATTGATGAAGCATGTGGAGCTTTGACTTTTCAACCGTCAAGGGTTGAAATTATTACATCACTCCTTTGGAGGGCTTTCATCGGTTCTTCAGCAATCATAAATGGGTATGTCAGGCCTTCTCTAATGGACTTTCCATTGAATTTGCGTTCTAAATCATCTTTACCTCAAGTGAACAACTCTATGGGGAATTTTAGAATCGATATTCCAATAAAATTCATACCAGGGGAGACTAAAATGGAATTGCATCACTTCATAATATTAATCAGGGATACTGTGAATAAAGTCGTTGCTTCATGTACCAAAGCTTCACCAGATGAAATAGTGTCAACATTAGTTAATATATATAATGAAAGCTTTGAAGCACCAGAGTGGGGAGGTAATGATGAAGTTGACAAAGTTTTATGTTCAAGCTTGTGCAAGTTCCCTTTGCAAGATATTGATTTTGGTTTGGGAAAACCAACCTTACTTTTTCTTGGTGTGAAAGATATGCAAATGTTTTGGTTGCATGATACGGATATTCATTCTGAAGTTGGTGTGCAAATGGACTTGAAGGAAAGCTATATGCAGTTATTTAAGTGTGACGATGACATCAAAGCCCTCACGTTTATACGCAATGCAAATCTTTGATATCATTTAGCTTTTATTGGTACTTGTTTTGTTTGTACTTTTTATTTAGAGTTTCTTTGGACATGCAATATTGAGTCATAATTTGAAGTTGAAATAAGATTTAAAGTTGAAGTTTTGTTTCGATATACAATTTGGATTTCTTAAATTATTTCTTTTTATAGTATTGAAAACCCAACAAAGCTGTGAAAATTATCAAATTAAATTTCCTCGACTCTTATATAATCTTACCGAATGAGCAAATCATAGTTTATAAGTTATTTACTCATTCACTATACATCATTGCCGAATTAGTTCTATAACTCTCAGAATACCATGGGGCTCTCCTTTCAAAAATCATAAGCCTAGTTTAGATCCATCACCTCATGAATAATCGGCTCTTTTATTCAATATCTATACTTAGTCTTCACTAGCACAATGGCACATCGACATAAAATTTCTTCGGTTAAAGTGTACTCTAACTCATCCTAATTAGTAACTACTACTCTACATTCTATTATGAAATTCACACAAGATTATTATTCCTTAGCCTACATATAAGGGAAAATCACCTCATTAATGACTTACTGGGTACATGACTACAACTACATACCTTATTCAATAACTATCCCCATTTTCTTAGGTTACTATACGGGTGGCATGGTATGGTATATACCGAATTACTATACCATATTGAAAAATTTTAATATCGTGGTTTGGGTATTATGCTATTTGGTATGGTATACATTATTATTTTTTTGGTAATCAGTACGATATTTGGTATTTAGAAATAATATACTGAAATACCGAATACCATACCGAAGTATAGTTACATAACATATGTTATTAAAATACTAATAGATATGCACCTAATATTAATATAAACTAAATTTTAGAAGTTAAAGTCGTAACTAATCTATTTTGATTGAAATGTATATCAAACGTAATTGATTAACAAAAGGAGTTGTTTGCACTTTCTTTTGAATACATATTTCTACATGTGTCCTGTGTTAGTATATGAAACAACTAAGAACTTTTTTGAGTTGTCGAAGTCATAATACACTTAGAAGTTTTCTTACTGCCTTCCCGTTGGGAATTATTTCCCCTAGTGAGTAAATTTCATTAATGATTGCAATGAACCTAGCATGCATGTCTTGAATTGTTTCACCTTCTACCATTCGAAATAACTCATATTGTCGGTTCATATTGTCAATTTTTTACTTCTTTACTTGAGTTGTTCCTTGTTGAGTGGTTTATAGAGTTTCCCATATTGCTTTTGCATCTTTACATGATAAGATCCAATTGTATTCATAAGAACCTATACCACATATTAGAATCTTCTTAGCTTTAACATTGTTCTAAATTGCGAGTTTATCTGCAGCATCCCATTCCTTCCTTTCCTTTGGTACCTTAGTGGTTCCATCAGTTCCATTCTTCATAGGTATGGTTGGATTGTCCAAGACTACTCCCCATAGGTCTTGATTTCTCCCATAAGGTGATCCATCATGCAGTTCTTCCACCATCCATAATACTTTTCGTTGACCAGTGATGGTCGTGTTTGGGAAGCTCCTTCTTGTGGTGTAGGTGGTGCGGCCATTGATCCTTTTCAAGATGTGAGTCTTTTAATGAAAAGACCTGCTCTGATATCAATTGAAAGAAACTACTCACCAACAGTTATTTCTAGGAATGGTTCCTAGAGTCGTATTTAACAGAAAGTAAATAACACTTAAATTTATCGTGGAAACCTTCCTCCCTCAAGGAAGGGAAAAACCACACCACAATTTTATTAACTTCAATAACAATTCAATAATCAAAGGGACTAACTCTAGTACATTTACTCTTCAATGATTAACTATAATTGAAGACTCTACTCTCCAAGAAGTCAAACCCACTTCTTATTACAATTCTCTCAAACTCTCTCTCAACTCTACTCACCAAGAAGTCAAAGCCACTTCTTGTTATAATTCTCTCAAAATCTCTCTCAATTCTACTATCCAAGAAGTCAAACCCACTTTTTTGTTAAAGTTTTCTCAAACTTTCTTCAAGAAGTCAAACCCACTTCTTGTTACACAATCTAGGAATTATTACAACTCAATAATAAACCTAGAAAAAATCAACAAAGACTAATAACCCTAGACTTTAATTGATCAAACTTCAATATTCAATAGTTCAAACTCGAACACAACTCATGAACCTAGTTTCAGTGTTGCTGTGATGAAGCCTTGAAATTGTTCTCCAATGGCTATTGCTCTCAAGATGATGGCTTTCATAAATATGCAATAGGTGTCGCTCTGCCTTTGCTGGAAAATTTTCTTAATTGTGATTGCAAAAGTCAATCTTCTCATCTTTGACTTTATCCTTTTATAGAGGTTAATTTTTGCCTTGATAGACTTCTACAAGGAAATGAATTTATTTCCCTAGAAAACTAATCCTTTTCCATATTAAACCTTTCAGGCTCTTCCCTTTTCTGCTTAGGACTCATTTATATTTGCTTATTTCCTTCTTCGACTTGGATTTTTTTTTTTGTAGTAGACTCCAACAAGGAAAGTAATTTATTCTTTAAAAAGCTTTCCTTTTCCTATAAGGAGTCTTTTTATCACGCCCCGAGCCTACACCCTGGATGTGGCTTGCACTCAAAGACCATTGCTGGCCCCCAAGCAAACCCTTGGCCTGGATTTCTTAACTCAGCAGAAACCTAACTCAACAGAATAACTCAATGCAATGCAAGGTTATAAAACAACCTAACTGATAAAGTCTGGCCCAAAAGGCAACTCGAAGTCCCAAAATAGAATATTTACATATATACATAGATGAGAGACTCAATACTAACTGACTGACTGTCTATGAAGCCTCTAAAATACTGAGATGGATGTTGGGACAGACCCCGCAACATCCTAATAAAACAAAACTAAGAGAACAAAATAATCGAGTCCTCCAGAATGCAAAAGAGGCTCACCACTGACTCTGGAGTACTCAGTTGGATCAACGGCATATCGGATGCTGGTCCTGGGTACCTGTGTCTGCATCATCATAAGATGCAGGCCAACTGGCATCAATACATTGAATGTACGAGTATGCGAGCTAGAAAACTAAGCAATAAAGGCTGGAAGGAAATCTGGAAGAAACTGAATAACTTACCTGGCTCAACTCAACTCACCCTGACTTACTTCTTTCAATATAAGGCAATTTAAAATAAGTGTGATATAAAGAAAGACTGTTTAAAAC